AAGAATCATAAATAATACGAATTAATGATTACGTACGAAAAATACCTCATGCTTTACCATTGGATAGAGAGCCCTAGGCTAGCTACTAGGCGATAATAATATTCGTTCTGGTAATAATAATAATAACAATAATAATAATGATGATAATAATAATTACGATTAAATAATAATTAAAAACAAAAGCTATGTGCGACGGTATCGCAAGTGTCTGCAGCCATCAGGGTGATATTCAACCAATTGCATTCTCTTTATCATTCTCATTTCAATGCTTTTCTCTTAATTTTATTATTCAACTTTCTCTATTTTTTCCTTTCCTTTCCAAGTAACTATTAGTATTTTACTTTTATTCTTCTCTTCACTCGTTTATTTTATCAAGCATTAAATAAATCATTACTAATTCATCTACAACATCTAAATTATGCAAAACATTTTCTTACACTGCAATGAACATGAGACTAATTTATGTATAATTAATAAAATATCCAACTGGTGTTATAAGAGTTAAGAGAGAAGAGAAAAATGAAAAAGACTATTTTATCAAATTTTCTTGTCATTTTATATCACTTTTTGCATGAAAAAAATAAAGTGTACGATAGAAAAGACTTTGATCTTAGTGAGTAACCAAGAAAAGCGACTGAGAGTCAACGGAAGTGAACGAAATCGCAGTGGATAGAAAACGTCATGTATATAAAGGAATGAAGAGGAAAAAAGAGAAAGGAATAAGAGCCCGTGGGAACTAGAAAAATAACGCAATCCCTTTCGGCTGAAGAGCTTTTGGAGTTTGGCAAAGCCTCTTCTTCTTCTTCTTCTTTGCTTTTATTCTTTCTTTCTTCATCGCACAAATGTTTTCTTCACATCTTGACACAGACTTGTCTCCCTCTCTTTTCTTTTACGATATCCGCGGTCTTTCGTTTCAATTTAATGTCTTTTTCCTTTTTATATTCAGGCTTCCACTTTTCTTTCCTCCTTGTCTTATAGAATGTTCTCCCTTTGGTATCGTCTCCAGGGCGCAGTAAAGTCACTGCTGTTTTACGTGTATTTCGTATACTGCCGCGGGGAAAGCTCGCTTTCTTTCTGCGATATCCCAAGAGAAATAGAGAGAATGAATGATATATATATATATATATATATATGGATTGGAGAAAACAGAAGGTGAGAAAAAGATATCGACCAACACTCTACAATTTTAAGTATGACGCAAAAATAAAAAAATAGGAAGCAGATTTATCTAGTTATAAATAAATATGAGAAGAGAATGCATTCAGTTGAAAGTCCTGAGGAGGTGTAACACACGAACACTGACTGACAATGCAGTTGCATGCTTATTATTTTATTCAAATCATTTAATCTATCTTAACGCTTTAATTTGTCCAATTTAGTCTTGCATTTATGCACTGAGAAAAAAATTTAATTTCATGCAATAATTTTTACATTTCTCTCTTTTTTTTAGTTTTAGCATAGAAATTATAGTTAACATTTAATGTTCTTTAGTATCTTGTGATTAATTAAGGAATTAATGAACAAATTGTAAATATAGTGCATGTTGCTAATTATTTAAATCTAATAAATAACGTGGATTCAAAGCTTTTACGTCAATCAAATATTAACAATAAAATAAAATTTGAAATTGATTACAACAAAACTAATATTTATCCACTATAAAATTCAATGAATTGATAGTGAAAAATTTCTAGAGAATAATAAATAAATGACGAAAAAAAAGTTGGTGAAAAGAAATTTTTTTCTCATGGCAAAATTTTTGTACGTTTGATATTAATAAATGATCCATGCCAATTTTTCGAGCAGGACCTCTTTATTGTGTTCCTTCATTCCAGCATGTCTCTACAAGATTGCTTGTACAAATTTTTCCATTTACTGTATAAAAAATATTTATAATTTAATGTTTAAAAAAATATGTGTATATTTTTTTTTTTGAAAATATCTAGACTTTGTTACTGGTTATTTTTTTTCTAGTTTTCTCATGAAAATTTATTTCTTACTTGAATGTTTATTGTTCCTTTGGTCTCTAGTCTTATCGTTCTTACTCGCAAAACACGAAAGGCATTGGACTTTTTCGCGAAAAGCTTTGAAGTTGGTGAACAGTGGTTTCACTCTCATCTCGTATATATACCTGGGCACGAAAGCGTCCACGCAAATAAACCGAAACGTGCCACTGCGCCGTTACCGTTTTATTTTATCTCTCTCTTCTCTGGTTGGCTACTACTCTGAACGTTTGCTCGTTTATAATCGTATCTCTCGCCTTTTCCACCGACGTTCACGGGTGTCTCGTTTAATTTCCTCTTTTGCTCTTTCGGCTCTACTCTCCTCTTCCTCTTTATAGTCTCCTTTAGCCATTTTCTACTCTTCCCCTCTCACACACACTCTCTTTCTTGCTTTCTTTCTTCCAGACTCTAGAACGTTCTGTGTTAAATTTTACCTTCCAAACTTATATCTTAAAAACACACTTTGCTTGTCGGAATGTTAGAACGAACATCGTAAGTGTCCTTGCAAGTCAAGTACTATCTTCTACTTCACACTTGGAAAAATCCTATTTTCTTCAAGAGTCACTGCTAATACTCAAGTCTTTTGATCTCAAAAATGTTGCTGGCAGTTTCACGACACGCTGACACGCTCGCAAAAATATTTATTACAAAACTAGATACACAGACGTATAAGTGTAGACAAGTGAAGGATAATATTCACTCGAGGATAAAATTAAAGGAACTCAGAAGAAGTACATTTCTTAGGAATTTTTTCTGTAGTTTTAATGATGGAAGGCTACTTAATATTTTTTTCTTGTTTTTAAATAACAATTTTAAAAATTTTAGATATGGAATTGATTAGTACTAATTCGTCAACTTTAATAATTCGCTCATCATAACAATTTTCAAGTGGATTAAATGAAACATTGTTGTAATGAAATTATACAAGAGAAATTAAAAGTTGGAATGGAAAGATAAAAACAAGAATTAAATTTTACAAAAATTAAATTATGCTTTTTTATGTTTAATTTTGTCTGAATTCTTTTTTTGTCGTTCTTGTAAGTATTCTTCATAATTTTATCTGTGAGTTTATCCTGAAATAATTTTTCACGGGAAGAGGAGAGACGAAATTAATCCTAACGGGAGTGTAAAGTTGTCCCGTGCATTCCTAATCTAATAAAAAATACTCGCGTACACTTAGTTAAAAGTTTTATACTAGACGAGTTTACCCTGTTTGCATTTAAATCTGATGACATTAAATGCCCGCAATCACGGAAAGCTGGTTACAATAATAGTTCTATCGAACTTATTCATGTATTATTAGCCGATTAGAGAGAAAAAATGATTCTAAACGAAAATAAAATACTTTTTACACTGAGCTTTTATCAATAAACTATTCATTCAATCAATTATTACTCAAATATTATCAATATTAATTTGAAAAATCTATTTTTAAAAAATTTTTTTTTGCATCATCAGTTGGTTTTTTTTAATTAAAGATAAAAATAGTATATAAAAATATATAAAAAAATTATGATAAATGACGTTATCGCGTCGGAATGTTTTGTAATAAAGCTTGACAAAGTACGTGTGAACTACATACGTATATATAAATGTATTTATATATATATATATATATATAACTTTCGACTCAAGTCGTAAATGGAATAAGCCTATAGGACGATCTACTAAAACCCTGTAATCGTTTCACTAAACCTAAATCGTCGACATTGTTGCCGGCGCTTTGGTCATTTTGTGGCTTCCCTGAGACAATCCATCTAGCTTTCAGAGGGATACGATGGAGAAATAAAACCAATCATAGAAAATCGTGGGATGGGTAATTAAACAGTATTAGATTTATGTAGGAATGCGTTATCTGTAAAAATAATTCACTAAATAAATCATTCCTTTTTCTTGATAAAAAGTAAAACACGATTTAAGTAAAAATAAATCAATTAAAAAAGCTACAAAATGACTTCTGCGTCGACGACTCAATTTCTTTTTTTTTGTTTTTCAAAGTAACAATGAAATTGTCTTAACCTACAATTAGCCGATTAAAGAAAACACTCTTCTTCGGCCTAGCACCGACCAAGCTATCGGGTCATCGCCTACGAAAAAAGACTACTCTGTTCTACAGAGGAAGGAAACAAAAGGATAAATGATAATGAGAAGAGGAGCCTGCGACCAGTTGGAAGATGGAAATGAAAAAACGTTTTGCCTGGAATAATGAGAATAAAGTGAAAGGATACCGTGTTGATTTTAAAATAATTTGCCTGATGGTTTGTGTTGTTTTTTGTTTAAATAAAATTTTCAATCATTCGGTTGGATAAATTGTAAATAAAATGGACCCACCTTGGCTGCAGGGAGGATCGTCGTGGCATTAAATATTCGCGTCGATGACCTTCTACCAGGCCAGTGTTAGACCGGGAACACGCATCCACATACAACGAATTAGACAGCGAACGCCAGATGTGCGTGATCTCCACTCCCAGTTGTTTCATTTCGTTGAGATGAAAAAAAAGCAATATCGACGAGGGATAGAATCAAATACTCATGAGCTGCAACTGGGAATGAAGATAGACAGGAGATAAAAAAGATCTGACGTTCGTCATCGGCTTTCATATTCTGTAAAACTGACTCTCTTTTTGCGAAACAAAAATTATTTGTGTCTCATTATTCAATGCTGCAATTATACACGCGAAAATGGAGTTTTATGGCTTGGTCGTGGTATGGCGGCTCATAAAAACTTGAGATCTTTCTCACAAACCGAAATTCTAAGTCTCAATCTCACGGTTTTATGTTTGGCAATTATTTTCTTTTACTTGTTCTTTGATTGAACTGATTGAATTTAAACGTTCTGAACCGTAGGGAGGAGATGTTGCACTAAAAAAGTTTATCTGTCTTCGTCTCAATAGATCGTTGCCTTGCTTTACACTCAGGAGAAGCCCTGGCAGATCTGTTGGATCTCGAAGTAAAGAGTGTAGAGTGCCTCTTCAGGCACGTCATGGATGCACCTACCCTCTGGCCATTGGACACACACTGAAAAAATAAAGTTAATTTTTAAAAAACTGAAATATTTACAATAAGCATAAGAAATTTCATAAAAGTGACTCTAAATTTTTATAAGTTTAATCATTGATCAGTAATTTATTTAATTGATTCATCCAAATAATTAAATAATGGAAATAGATTTATTAACTGAATAAAGTTAATACAAAAAATTTAAGTTATATCACGATCACAAATTTTTTTAATAAAAATTTAGTGTCTAAACTAAAACTGAATTTTCAAAAATTATAGAGAATTTTTTGGAACTTTATATTTGTTCTAATAGCTCATATTTTTATTCGAATGAACATAAAAGAGTTAATTTTGAGCAGAATTATTAACTGTATTTACATAATTAATAAAGTCATATTATTTTAGTCATTACGAATAAAATTTTCTGCATGAATTTTTAGCATCACTTTTACCGGACATAAAGAAAAATAAAAAAGTCATGAGTGTTTGTCTGATTTATTGCAGAACTATTAAAAATAAAAATACTTTCAAAAGCTAATAAATTTTATTTTATTTTCAATAAATATATTCTTGTCTTTGGTAGTAAATTATTTTTAAAAATAAAAATCTTTAAATGCTCCAGATTTGAATAAATCCAAGTTGTATTTATAATTATCACAAAGACGAAAATCAGCAGCTATGCATAACACATATAGGCTATGCCGTAATGGGAAGTTAATTAATAAGGAATGTAATGGAGGTGATATTACAATCTGGCATAACTGTAATGAACGTAGAAGGGAGGTGGTGCTATCAGAGTGCCGATTAACTTGTGTAATTGGCCAAAGCTATGTCGTCTACACATTTAGTCGAAATTGACGATTCTAAGTATGGAATGCATGACATTCGGGAGACTAGAAAATCATTTTTATTGGATTATTGATACCAGTAGACTCAAAGACAAGAGGGAATTTCTCATTAATACGGAATTAAATATTTTTTTCTTGTCCTTTTTCTCTTGAGGCTTCTAAAAGACTCCAAATTAATGACTCAACGATCCAAGAGTTAGGGAGTCCGCAGTAGAAAAAAAGAAGCAAACAAAGTTAAATTCCCGTAAGAAAATAATGGAAAAGCTTGGGTTGAGTTAAATGGAACGAAGGAAATTGATCGCGACTTCATTAGTTAGGAGAGGATAAAGGAAAGTTCATTTTGAATTAAACTTTTTTACATTTTTTATGTTTCCAAGTAAATTTTATTTTTTCAACTGGATATTTATAAAAAATTATTTTCATAAAGAAGGAAATTACTGTTATTGAAGAGTTATTTTACTGGGAACTTTTAATAGAAATTCTAGTTCTTTATTTCATAAAAATTGCAACGATTTTTTATTTTATTGATTATATAATTTTGTGTCAAAGTAATACAAAAATACTTATTAAGGGAAGAAAAATTTTTTTTTATAAAAATATCTGTGTATGATCTTTGAAGATAAAGTTATTTTTTTGTCAATATTCTCTTTTGAGTTCATTGGAGAAAGCGATATAATACTGTAATCCGTTTCTGTCATCATTAATGCTGTTTTATTTGACAGCTATAGTGGATTAAGGATTGTTAAAAATGTGCTTCTGTCATGCAGTGTGAGATACTTCACGTGCTGATAATAGAAACCGATTTCTAACTTGCGAACAGAAAATATCAGTGAGAGGATTGATCGGACTGTCGCGTGCAAATGAGCTTTATCTTTCTCCTTATCCCCTTTCAAGACGAGCTACAATTGAAAAGAGTAGTAAACAATGAGTTTAAACTAAAAAAAAAACATTTTTACGGAAACGACTCATTATGTTTACCTTGATAGTTTTAAATTCAACTGAGAACAAAAAAATAGTCCAGTAGTCATCGAGTAAAGTGCTGAGTGGTTAAACTAATGGAAGTCGTTTTTGTTAGCAATCTCCAGCAATAACATTGAGAAGAGTAGAGAAAAATCGAGACAATGGATGTGAGAAAGAAAATGCATTTGTAATGATATATAGATATATAGGGGTGTATATAGAAGGTGACAGTTGACGATTAATTTCTTGCAACCATCACCTAGAAACAGGTCTCTCGTCTCGAGAGTATAGTAAACGAGTCACCAAAAAGCAGAGTTATATTGATCTTCTTTCAAGTAGCTCTCGAAATAAAATGCTAATGAAATTTTTATAAATGACCTGATTCAAGGAACGTGAAGCATTTCTTCTAAATGAATGAAGAATTTATTTCCAAGAACTTGAATTGAAAATATTTCATTTTTTTGATTTGAAAAAATATATTTCAATAAAAGATACTTTCAAATTCAGAAACAATCTATATGTATATTTGAAATCATTTATTCAGTGCACTAACACTTCAGCTGATCATGAACTTAAATGTATTTTATATTTCATATCATCAATTTACAAAACAAATTAAAACAATTCGTTTTTAAATAATACTTTCAGTGATGTCTGGTTTTTTGATTTTTTTCTAATAAATTGTTTTAATAAAACTATTTAAAGTAAAACAAATATTCTCGTTTCAATTTTTTGTTTGAAAGCCAAGAGAGCTATAAAATACATTGTTTTATTATTGCCGAGTAAAAATTAAATGTTTTGTTGCTCAATCAAGTCAATTTTTATTAACAGAAATAAAATTTTTTATCCTTATTACTAATTCAATTGTCTAAAATAAATACTTTTTTTTTAGAAGCTCTAGTTGTTTCTGAGAAATAAGAGAAAAGCTTATTCTAAGAAAATTGTCACTCTAAAATGTTTGAATGATGAAGTAAAGAATGAATAATAAAATAGTTTCTTAGTTAAAAAACACTTACTTTTTATTAATCAAAAATGCATTTATGAATTCAAGAATAATAATTCTTAGAAATAAAGTAAATATCGATGGGGATGATAAAGTTTAAAATAAAATCAAATTCTGTTTACAATTGATCATAAATAGACTGTTGTTTACCATTTGTGGTATTAAAATGTTGCATGAAAATTTATGAATTTATTCAAAACAAACATCACTGTTCTTAAATTGATATCAAAGATAAAATGATGACAGAATTGTTATAAATGAGTCGATTTGCGAAACAATAAAGACAAGATAAAAAACATATAAGAAATTTATTCTCTTGACGTTATTCTATAAATTTATATCTTAAAGTTTGGAAGGAAAGTTGAAGCTTTTGGAGATTTATTTTGCCTGGATTTCCGCATGAAGTGGCAAAAATTCTGTGGTCGCGGAGCATTTCACATTCAACGAAATGGCAAATATAATCTTAGTGGTGTTCATGAGTTAGTATTGGAATAGATAAAAAACAGTGAAGCATGCGTCTCGCATATTATATCCAATAGAGAAGACGTTATTTACGTGCTTGTAACGTTCATTAATGAGCTCTGCTGTTGCATAAATCATTAATACCTAACTGTGGGAGGCGACGATCTATATTCTGATGAAAAATGTATATAAGCTTACTAACGACTTTTTACTTGAGCTTAAAAACTTGAGAACGACTAAAATAAAATATTTACATGTTTTATACATAAATAATAAATCCCTTTACTGTAATAGATACTTTTTTACAGGAACAAAATATTTTTAATCCATTAGAGCGAAAAATTTCTAGATTAAAAAAAAAATTAATAAACACTGAGGAAAAAAACATTTATCTGAATTTATGCTGTAGAAATGAATGATAAAGTTTAAAACAGATTATAAATAAAAAAAAATGTTATTACAATATTTGCTAATAATTCTTTCTGTTTACTACGTATTGTCTGCTAAGTTTATTCTACCAATAGAATTCTACCTTTTTATCAATATCAATGAGTATATATATATATATAAAAGTCATCTCATTTTTTTATTACACCTCGCAATATCGACTTCAACTTTTTTATCAGCTTTTATGACTCCCTAGATTCAGGTTTTATTTTTTACTCACATATACACGACCCAAAAAGTTTATAAAATCAATGTTCTTCGCCATGAATCCCCTTCACGAAATCCCAAAGGTATTTCGCGAGAAAAGCTATGATTCAAGAATGAGAAATGGCAAAAAATAAAAGTGAACGTTGGCAAGTCGAGAAAGAAGCTCAAGACAGCAAAGTAGAAATTGCGTTTGAAACGTGACGTGGCCGCCTGACCAACCACCGACTGTTACTACTGTCTAGTAAAGATATCTCCTTTTTTTATTCTTTTCTTTACTCTTTTACCGATGAAAAACGACAAGAAACAAAAGAGGGGCGATAAATTTTTAAAGATACACCTACTACTCTACTCTGATGCATCTAATCCCTGGGGTACTCTCTTTCGCAGTTTTCTTTTTCCACCTACTTTCTTCGAGAAAAAGCTTTAGTGACCTGGGGACCTGAGCTAATAAATGCAGTCTTTAGAGTTATATCGATCATGTCTGAAAAATTTAATAATTTATTCATTTCCTTAGAGTGCAGTTTTTAGTTTCAAACATTATGTACTGTACTTTATAAAATAAATGGGCTCTATTAATGTTTTAACATTTAATTAACATTCTAATTTGTCATAAAGTTATCTCATGAAACACTTAAGATAAAATCAATTTTACTTTTTTTAAATCACATAAAAAAATTGACTTTCATCATCAAAGTCTTGGATTTTCTAATTAAATATCCATCAATAAAAAAAAATGAAAAAAATCCTATTTTTAATACATGATTAACTAAGTTTTAACGCAAACCACATTTTTCACTATAAGCATTCTTGTCTAGTAAAAAAAAGTGTTGAGTTCAATTAATTTTTTGTGACGTCATGCTTTAATAATAAAAGTATAACTCATTCAAGTTTTAATTACAACATTGTATTAATCAGCTTTAGTGAAAGAAATTATAAAAACCTCAGAACAAACTAATACATTTATTATTGACGTCTCCAATAAAACTTTTATAGGAAAAAAAAGTTCAAAACAAAACTTTTAGCAATGCTGATTAAAAACTGAAAAAAATATCTTGAAAGTTGTATTTTATTGAGAAGCTTTCTATAATTTATGATAGATTTTCACAATAATAAGAATTTTTAATAATTTTTACTAATAAGCAATCACTCACTATTCTAAGTATTTTTATGAAAACTTGAATATTTTTCTGAGATCTAAATATTGACAACTTTTTTTGCTAACTTATTTCTCGTGATCACAGATGATTATGTTTTCATTATATTCGAGTATTAGATACCTCGATCGAAAGGAATCAAACGAAAATATCTCAACAAGATTTATAATTTATTATAGCTATTTTCTGTTAAAATTAATCATTCATTCCCCTCCTTGGTAATATAAAACATCCTGTTCAATATACAACCATCAAACCATACTCCCTTACATTAATGATTCTTTACAACTGATGCCTCATAATATATAGGTTTTTGCCAGCGCATTTATTTTTCGAAACCATTTGACCAGATTATAACGTTATTATTCCCTATCCTAACTGCTTCTATAATAAGCTAGTACGTGAGAGCACCTTTATTTCACCACAAAAATGGCAGATAAAAATAAAATAAATAAATTAGTGATATAGTCCAGAAAAAATGTGGGCATTTTTCATAATAGTCTCAAAGCTTTTTTCTTCTCATCTTCTTACAATTGTGATAATAGAAGATATGATGCAAAGGGGAAGAGATAGTTACAGTAGATGGGTCGTAAACTCGTTGGTTAACAACGTACTCTCGTAAAAGGATCGCAAGAGATGTTGACAAACGAGGTGTCGTTCAAACGCGGCAAACTTTATCGCAGGTTACATCTCTTCTCTCTCGGGTTTTTCTTTTCATCTCAAGGGACTTAAAAGCTCTATCAAGTTTCGAATTCCAAATGGAACGATGGCCTCAAAATGAGAGGAATAATCAAGAAAAATGTTGAAGAAAAAATGATCAAGTGGCTTTTTGTGAATTGAATTAATTGGAGGAAGCAATTTACTTTGTTTTCCCTTGATGAATTATTTAAAATGCTTACTAAGAAAATAGCGTGACGGTGTATATAATGTCTTAATTCAGCTAAGCGGAAATAATGATAATTTGTTCAGACGATCTATAAACTTATAAAATTTGCTAAGTATTGAGAATTTAAGCTGTTGATGGATCGACTGTTGAAAATTTGGAGTGAGTTAATGAGTATTATAAAATGCGGTCATACGAAAATTTTGTTATAATTAGAGCTATAATTTGGCTCAACAGTAAATTAAGTCACTAAGTATAAGAAGAAAGATATGACGACTAACGAAATGGTTGAATCGGTTGGGAAATGCTTGGCACAAAAGTGTACGGTCGATCGTTATTGTCGCACTAGCCTGGACTTATTTATAACTGCATCCCAATCAACCTTGTCGTTCGTTATTTCAATGACCATATATGCTTTGCCGTGATTACCATCGAGTTTTATTGACTCGCTTTTTTTTAAAGCGTCTCTTCAAAGTGATTGATGAACGAACTAAAATTCGAATTCGGCAATGGTTAAATATTGTACTTCACTTTCAGTCAAGTCAAACTCGTTTTTTTTTTTTTTTTTACTTCTATTGTATGTTACAAAATTTTAATTTAGAAAAATTATTTTCAGGGGGAAAATTTTAATGATAAGAAGAGATTTTTAATTAAAAATAATTGTTCATTTGATCTTCAAGAATTTGAAAAAAAAAAACATATGTGGCAAATAAAAAGTAGTGAATTTTTGATTAAACTTTAGAGGGTATTTTTTATTTTCAGTTATGAAAAAATATTTTCATCTGGTAGATTATTTTGTTTTTTACAACATAATCATTATTTTTTATTTTACTTAAAAGCGAAAATATAGTGAATGGAGTAAAAAAAGAGACATATCCAGTAGGTTATTAGTACACGTGAGAAAAGTTTGAAGCGAAAGTAACAATCAAAATGGAAATAGAGCTTAAAAAGCGAGTACAAAAATAAAAAAAAAAAAAAAAAAAAAAAAAAACGCGTACGCTACGCAGCTGGCTGAGTAATCCGGATTGAGTAAGCGTTCAAATGCTGACACAATTAAAAGGAGATTAGGCTAGGATTAACACAATGGACGGTCTCTCTATGAACCGCGTAACGAGTCGTGTTACAAATCGACCTCTTATTATTACATATTATTTATATATATTTAAATAATTTCGTAGATATTTTATAACTAAAATTATTGAATTTAACTAAATATTCTCATACTAAATACATTTAGATATTCTTTTGAAGTATGTTTTAATTGGTTATGAATCCTCTTCAGAAATCAAATTAGTCATTTAAATTTAAATTATATAAGGCTCAAAAATAGTAATTTTTGATTTCAAAATAAATTACTCTCTAGCTTTAGTGAATATTTTTGTCAAAATGTCATAAATAATAAATGGTATTAATATATCTGTCTTCACTAAAAGGTAATAAGAAACATACGTTCGTAATAACTTGTTATCTTTAATTAATATCATTTCTAGAAACTTTTTTACTCGTAATAAATTTATTATTTCTTGCAATTTATGATTATTTAAAAAGAAAAAAGTTTCTGATTTGTTATTAAAAAAAAAAAAAGGATCAAACTTTTTAACCTGGAATCAGTCTTTAATGTTTCTTTAAGCTGCTGCACTTGGTCATATAACTCGAGTTGAGCTAAAAAACTCATACCGAGGTGTATGCGAAGTTTTGGATTAAAATTCTGCTTTATCTCATAAAGTTGTAGTCAACATTTATTTTTATTAGTATAAAATGGGGTCATAAAAAAATACTGGACTTTGCAGTAGGTAAAATTGAATATTCTATATTTAAAAGAAAAAAGATTTTCTATTTATAGATTATAAGTTAAAACTTATAAATGTATTAACAATTAGTTAAAAAAGTCACGAACGTATAATTAGCTTTTTTTTATCAACATTGACGAAATTATCTTTCTTCACATGACTAAATATTACTCTAAGGGAAAACCTCCCTCTTTTCAACCCTCTTCATGAATTGCCTATTCAATGAGGCAGAAGTGATCGTAATTTATAACGATTAATGCTATCGTAAATGTTCAAATAACTTAACAACGTAGTTACTACTAATATCGTACAAAATGGTGAGCAGCATTGTAAGCTAAATCGCATTGTAATAGTCCTTCAAACATAGGAAATATTCATTTTTTGTATTAAATAATCCGATAATATTTCTTTGTGAAATAATACCAACTATTTTCACAGAATATAAAATTCAAATGATTGAAATAAATTTAAATATTAGAGCATATTTGATTAGATTCTATTTTCCTACCTTGAAACTATTCAAATCTGGAGTAAATTTCATTCGATTTTATTGTATTATAATAAAAAAAAATTTTTTTACCATTCGGCACTGTTGGTGGTTTTTTTGTCTGCACTCTCGCTGTTGCGTTGTTCACCTGTCGCAATTGATAAAAATTCATTAGTAAATTGTCAAGCGTGATTTCAGTTGACAAGAAATTCAATAGGTGAACTCAAACGTGGATTCATAGCGAAAACAAAAATTTTTTTATAACTAAAATTTATTTTATTCATCATCATGAAACGGTGAATTTTATTTCATCCACATATGAGTTCAGTAAATCGTTGAAACGTAAAATCATAATAATATCTTTGATGTATTTAAGTTAAATGTACGTACAGTTTAAAAAAAAGGAGCAACTGTCAAATTTAATATTAAATTGAATTATACCAAGTAATTTACTTAAACTTTTGAATAAATGATATTTTTATTCTGTTGATATTTTTATATAACTTTATGATTTTATTAGGAATAAAGAGAATAGAAACAATGATAAATTAATAAATTGAAAATAAATAAAATTTCCTGTGATTTTACGTTTCATTATTTAAAAAATTGTTAAGGAATTAAAATAAATATTGAATTGTACATTTAATTGTTAAACTATTCTCTAAATCTCGTGTCAATCGATCAGAATGAATAATACAAAAGATATAGAAAGGACTATTGTGCTTGAAAAAGTCTAATAAGAAAAATACAGAGTTTAATAAATAAAAATACTCTTGGCACGAGATGCAGAGATCATTTCTTTAAATTCAAGCAACTCAATAGCGTTTTCAATTGAAAATTTTTGGCAATAAATTACACATAAAATCTATAAAAGTTTTATTGCTTGAATCCAAAGAAATCCAATGATGATAACATTTTTTGTTATTTGTTTCATTCTAAAATACCTTGAAATCAACTACTCGTCTTCGATGTCTAAAATGATCAATTTCTTTTTTTTATCTGTTTTTTTTTTTTTTTAGTTCTTTCAAGAAAGTTGAATGAATGTATTTAAGACATTTTGTCTTATATACAGAATGAGAAAAGTATTTTTATTACGTGAGAAAAGATATTTCTCTAAAGCTTCAGATATCACAGCACTAGAGAGCAGGAACAGATGGAGTTCAATTAAGAGTGACGATACTTGACGCAGAGTCGACAAGAATTAGATTAATCTTTAAGTAGCAATCGATCCGTTTGAGGTCGAAGACGATAGTCGATTCTTCATCCAATGGCTTGTTTCTTATCTTCTAACTCTCACACTCAATTGCATTCGTAATTTCTCTGACGAAAATACATTCTCACAATTCTTATTCATTTCAATGACAAACTATTTATCTTCATTTTTTATTTTTCTCACGAAATATTTGTTGTTCAACAACAAAATATCATCATATTTTTATAGGTATATTAAAAGTTTTCTTCACAATTGAAGATATTTTAGAAATATTTGAAGATACTATTCAATAACTGTCTCACATATTTCTATATATTACAAATAAAATTGACAAGATACGAAAATAATTCAATAGAGAATGCAGTTCACGTCACAGTTTCTCACGTACGACAATCGAATGGAGAGAAAGTGGAAAGTGATGTAGAAATGAAGAAATAATAAATCTAAAACATTTTTTTTTCTTTTGAAATTGATAAGAGCTATATTACTTTTTAATATTTGATACAAAAGTTAACCATACATCCACCTTTTCTAATTTTTTATATTTAATCATTTTGTGTTAAATTTTATTCATTACCACACATCAATCAGAGCTCAAAACTATTAATAATATTTTTCAAACTTTAGTTGTTGATTTTTACGTTAAATAAATGACTAAAAATAATTTTGCATCAATTAATTAAAAAATAATGAATTTATGTTAACACTCTACATCACATTCCTTAAATACATTTTTAATTCTACCTCAAGACTATTCACTATATCCTCAAGCATCCTCACACTTGGAGCAAGAAACCAGAAAGAAATATTTAATCTCAATTTTAATTACTGCAACTGAGACAAATTAGCTTTGGAACACGATATAAGAGTAGACGTATCTCAACACAAGCTGCATCATCTCTCGTGAAAATGAAAGAGCTTGCATTTTATAGGTCAAAAAGAGAGGAAAGAGGATTGCACAAGTGGTCTCTTATCCCTAAAGTAACTCCAGTAACGAACGAGGCAAAGAGAGGATAAAAAAGGAATGATGAAAAGCCACATTAGTTGGACGATGCAAGCTCTCTAAAGCAAATATACAAATAAATTTGTAAAATCGTGATGGATTCATTTTTTTGTTTTTGTGGCTGTTTAATCTCTCGTTTGACTTGAAAAACAACTCTTTTCTATAACTGTGTAATTATTTTTATTTACATGTCACTGATTAGTAAGTAAATAACATGAAAAAATATCTAGTTGAATAACTAAGTTCTTTTTTAAAATTGAAAACCCATATTTGTATGTGTTTGAAAGCTTTTACAAACAACTTTACTACGTTAATAATGATTTAAAGTAACCACTCACGTAAAAATGTTTGAATTTAGTGGAAAATAATATTAAACTTTAAGTTATATCGTGGAGAGTTTGGCAAACTTTTGAAATTGAACAAATATGCGGATAAAAAGGTATAATTTTACATATTTTAAGTAGTGATTCACTTTTTTCCGATATTTTTTTCTCTTTATTCTTCAGTGATTATTGTATTCTTTCATAAATAGACTTTCTAGCCTTGGAAGTTGAAGGAAAATATTTCTTTGAATGAAGAATAGTTTATTTTAATAGTTTTGATTTATGTATTTGAATAATTAATCTTTAATAATAACTTGTGAAATAATAAATTTTCATGATTTACAGAATGCCAAAACCACAAAGATAACAAACGGAATATTAGAGTGAAACAGTATAATATCATCTGAAAATAACTACTGAGACTTTACAACATGTTGCAGAATTACATGCTATAAAAGTCATCTCTGCACTTTCTTGTGTCGTAAACAGAAGCTTCAATGCTGATAGTTTTGTTCAAATGACATTATGTTTTATCCTAGTATCTTATTTATTTTGCAAATTAAATGCTGAATCTTTTTTTACAAGAAAAAGGACAATTTTTCACTAAGATAAATTATGCACTTAATCCGATATCTTTTGATATCTCTAACAAATTTTTTTCCTTGAAATTTAAAACTAAAACCAAGTTTGAATACTGATTTTGGAGACGTACTGTAATTCTCATAAGAAGAAAAATATTTGAAAAAATTCAGCTTATTTTATAATATGAATTTTTTATAGACTTTTATATTTATCTTGTATCTAAAATCTTATCTCATCTTGAAACACAATTAATTCCAGAGATTTCACACTACTCAAGGCCGCAGCTGTGTTGCAGTGAATAAAACTAATTTGACAGTAATTAAATTCAATAAACCTCATTTAAACTAATTTCCTTATTTTCAATTGCACCTCAGAGAGTTTCAAGGTTAAAAATTAACAAACAACATAAATAAATATAAAAATACCTTAATGGTATTATATTATTATATTAGAGTTTCAACAAGTATAAAATAACTGTATTTTCCAATTATTCGCAAATTAAAATATTCTAAACTCATGTCATTGAAATCAACTTTAATTATGAGGTACTTTTTCACATGAATTCTAATATTTGTACATAAGTGGTTACTTCAAAAACTTAAAAATATCGAATAAAAAATAAGTAAATAAACAAATAAGAATTTATATTATTAAACGAGTTGATTTGCAGGTTAGAGTTAAGTCGTGTTCATCTGGCTTTCAAGAACTTGACTATGAGAAATTCACTGTGCGATGACAGAACTGAGAAACTTGGCAAATTTCGTGGGTAAACCGTAGGGGTGAGTTTAGAATAAGGGATGAGAGAAGGATCACAAGAGGAGTGTAGTGAGGGGGTCGCGAATCTGCATTAATTTGACTTGCTAAGCTGAAAACTCCCAAGCAAGGTAACACGCGGGTCGAGTGAGTGGACCAAGCCGGGGATCCAAGGGGTTGAGGAAGTTACCAAGTGAGGGATGATGTGAGCTAGGGGTGTGGTTAGTTGAAACACTGGGAAAACGATGCACGTACGGAGGTACTTAAGCCACAGAGTTTGGTCAGAGGACTTTTGTGGAATAGAGAAGGCATGAAGGGAGTTGACTCTGCAAATAGAGGGTGTATCCCTCAATTTGTTTCGCGCGACCTCTCGCGATATCTGAGCATCGCGCAATAAAGTACCAAACCAATTTAAACTTGGTTTTTTGGACTAAAAATAAGTTATCTAAAATTACCAGAGTTAAAAAGAAATGCCAGGATGTGTTTGTTTACTGTTAAGAGAGGGAATGAAAAACAATTACATACTTTTACGACGAGTTTTTAACATTTACGTTATTACTGAATTTTACTTATCCACAATAGGGATAACTATTTTAACTAAATTGTCTTATCATCGTATTTAATATTTGCATTTATTGAGAAATTTATTAATCTAAAATATTATTGTATATACTTCTAATTTTTAATTATATCATATTTTTTATTTTGAATTAATTATTAATTTTTTCAATGAAATTAGAGTATCGAAGACGGAATAAATTTTAAATGAAAAAATGATCATCTATTGATTGAATATAAATTTATACCACATCGCATAGAATCATTGCAGCTAAAAATAATTATTGCAATAATCTTTAAGATTTTATCACAAGATTAAAAATTGATTTTCAACTTAAAAAATATTGAAATGAACATTTTTCTTGTTTCTGATGATAGAAAAAGCTATTGATGTAAACACTAATCTTGACATGAAAAATTGCGGAAAAATACATATTTATAACAAAGAGAAATGTTTTTTCTGAAGCTTAAACTTGTAATATTTTTTATTTAGTTTTAAAAGCAATTTTTCTTTCAGTAAAGGAAGACGGATCTAAAAGTGACTTTTTCCTGATCGTGACTTTAAATGATTCATGGAAGCGCCAAGGATTCAGTTTACTCGTGACCTGTACGGTAACGATAGGCTTTTACGATTTCTACCCTCTCTATAACCCCTTTGCCACCCCGGGCTTCGAAGCCTGAGCTTTTTGCCTCTATAATTCAACCGGGAATTGGAGCTTTACCACAATTGGGTTGTCAAGAATAATTTATTTCTTCCTCTCTTGACTGCAGCCTAAAGAAAAATGAACATTTTTTTCTGTCTAGTAAAATATATTTTAATTATTTTAATTAAATCTTGGCAAATAGTCAATGAATTAGGAAGCGTTTGTTGAGGGTAAAATGTGTTGGAGTGAAAAATCGTGGAAGTGAAAAATATCGTACAAAGAACGTTCATTAGTATAATGGTAGTGAGAGAATGGCTGAGCGCAATACGCGTGTCGTGCATTTCCTGCTTTGTCAAAGGTCGCGCGTGTCTATTCGTAGGTCGCATAAAAGCTCAAAAAAGCACCACGTATATATCTTGCAATGCGATTCCCGCTCTCCCATCATCGGAAGCTCCATTATCGCGTTCGTCCTCGTTTCCTCCGAGCTTTTCATCCCCCCTTTCCCCTTTTACATCTCCCTATTCATCCTCCTTCTATCCTCATGCTTTTCCTCTTCCAGCCTCCTATTTCGTTCCCTTTTTTTACTCACGACTTGTTCCGAAGGGCGAATCCGCAAGCTCTCTGAACCGAGAATATTCTCCGACCTTTGTATAGACTTACACATCCTGCACGACACATCGAGTTGGCAGGGCAACTCTGATTCGAGCGCAACAATGCACAAGGAAAATGATATTCAACGGGCCGAGAGACTCGATTAATCAAGAATTTTTAGCGGTTGCTTTCGTCTCTATCTTTTATTTGGAATTTTTATGTCTGACGTTTGAATTTATAACTCCATTACAATAACTTACTTTGCGCTCGTTACAAAGACTCTAATATGAAGATGCCGATTAATTAATCAAAAGAAAAAGTGAATTTTTTTTGTTAATTTAATCGGTTTCATTTTCTAGAGAATCATTAGCTAATACCTATTAGATTTCATTTTTACCAAGATATTAAAAAATGTAGAAAGATTTTAATTTTTCATTTTTTTTACGTGAAAAATTATTAAATTTTAACTTTGAAATTTTATAAGAATAATATCGAGAAGATTTGCCTCAAAATTTAATTGAATAACTCTAATGTAAAAATTATTACTTCATCAAAATAATTAAATCATGAAAAAATCATTAATGATTGACATATTATATTAAAGTTGAAAAAATACATCTACTCCATTGTTTAATTATCACAAATTTCTATCTCCTTTAATGCTGAATGACATTAAAAAAAATCTTAGCATATTTTAAGTTCAATTTCAATTTTATAATCGGTTTTACCACACTGGATGAATATAATATACACCTTTATATAAACAACACGAATTAATCATACCTCCTGTCACATTTTACCCTCATTGAAATGCAAAACAACAATTAGGAAAATTTCGAAATATTTTAGGGATTGGTGTATAATTAAACATAATTAAAAAGATCTATCACGGAAAAAGTAAATTTGGGTCAAGGGGCTTTTTGTAAAAGTTGAATAAAAATTGAATTTCGATATTTAATTATATGATACCCTTATATAGATATGAAAAAAATCACCAGTTTCTTGCTCAGTTGCGAGGACACTTCTCTCGTGCCCACATGCGTGTTGATATTCTCAGAAAAAAATATCTATATACAGTTATTGATATAAAATAAAAATAGAACAAATAAATAATAATTTGATGCGCGAGAGAGAGTTAATTACAACCTCAATCTAGCAAATACAGTACAGTCTGCCATTTTATATACGACTGAAAAGTGTTTTGTGTTACATATATTTATATATATATATAAAATATAATATATATATGTGCGTTCCCTTCACGTGACGTTAATTGTTGGTAATTTACCTCCAAGCGCAGGTGAGGAAAATAAAGTAAGTGGGGAGATAAATAAGCGCAACATAACAGTGCCAACATTACAGTTAAATAATATAGAAAAATAAAAATGTACATCAAAATAAAATAAAAACAATTACAAAAATAAATTAAAATAAATACATAAATAATAAATGAAAAATTTCATTCATAAATATTAATTGGATAAAAGCTGAATTAATTCAATACGCAAGTTAAATGAAAAAGTTAATTGATTTTAGTAAAGAAAAGATAATACACCCTGGAGAATGATTTACGTGTGAATCACGTGAGAGAGCGGGCAGTGCGAGTTCTAAAATTTACACTTTTATCATGTTTTATTATTTTACTTTTTTTTCCAAATTTTCATTTCCACTTAATAACTTTTCATTCATCTCATTTTTTTCATTCCGTTTTTTTTTGCGCTTGACACTTGGTTTCTTACCTTTTTAGGACACTTTGGACGTGAGGTGAAGGACCCATCCTCAGTGTCCGAGTGTTTGCCCGGTTTAACTCTCATTTGATACGAGATTCTTGAGAGAGATGACCGATTTATGTCATTTTCTTTTTTTATCTGTTTATTATTCTCGCTCGCTCGCTCTCTTTAAGCTTTAAGTTTTTCTCCATATTTTTTTTGCTCTTTTTCTATCTCTCATCTCTCTCTTTCTCTCTCTTTTCTTTTATTCTCTCTCGCTCTCTTTTTATGTCGCTCGCATAATCAACGCCCTCGCAAGAAGCTCTACAAGGGACAACACAAGAGGTTTTTATAAATTGTGTGGACGAGAGTTATTTCGATAGTTGATTTTGCGGGCGTTCTAACGACGCCCGTTGCCAAAACTTCTGTCTCACTGGGAATACTCGAGCTTTCTATTTTTTTTTTTTTTGTTGTTATTACTTTTTTTTTAACCGCATATTTCTCTTGCAACCCCTGTTCAACAAGCACGCCGAGTCAGACAACTAATAATATATAACAGTTATACGAATTTCGCAGAAATATTTTTTCTGACTGAGTTGAATTTCAATTTTTTCTCTACTAAGCCATGACTACGTCAGCTCGTTGAAGAAGTTGCGAAGCAAGAATAATTCACAATATTACTGTTTCATTGATTGTTAATTGAATACCACTGAATTAGATTTAGAAACAAAAAATTAAACAAAACAAAAAAAAACAAACATTAATAGCATTGGAGAAACTAGTGTAATTTTGTAATAAAAATCAACATGAAATAATTGTGAATATTTCTTGTCTGACAGAAAAATAATTAACAATATAATTATATGTATATTTAATAAATACATACAAGCAAGGACGCATGCACGTAAGACTCGTGCAAGCGCCTATGCTTCAAACCTGTGGAGTAAAAAAGAATGAAATAAAGATTTATAAATATAATTAATTAACATTATAAAATATGATGATCAATGAATATAAAATATGAATTAGAATTAATAATTAATATCAACGATAATTATATGTTTATGTATAATATGTAGAGTATAATATAAAAAATTGTTTAATTAATATATAATAATTATATAAGTATAAGAAAGTTGTCATGCACACCTCAATCTTTCTGCCCTCAACCACGGTGCCGTGTAGCCTCTCACGTGCCTGGTCCGCATGGGCACTATTCGCGAATGTTACAAAACCGAATCCCTGCATGCAAGGACAGACAAAACAACATGCATTAAACTCAACTTACAGACTCTGCCACGCTCGACGGGCACGGCCCGCCGACATCTCGAGTACGAGAAATCAATCAGATCGTGCCCCCGATCACGATTTTTTCATTTTTATTATTTAATACTAGTCATTTTATTTGGTTTCATTTTTTATTTTATTACATATTTTTTTCAAAATATTATCTCATTATTTTTTACATTTTACAATAGACATTATCCACAGTCGTCAATATTTAACTTCCACTGCTTCTACTTTAATTTTTTTTTAAACAAAACAAAAAGAATCATTCATTTGCCTACAAAGTTCGTCTCTCTTTGTCTCATTTTTTTATGCCTCACCCTTTTCCCCTGTTCATCGCTTCCCCTTTCTCATCCGCTCATGGACAATGAACGTCTGGAGAAAATACTTCAAAAAAAAAGTGAGGATAACTGCCACGAATAATTAAATCGTCAGACTCAAGACGCGGAATGAAAAACTGAATATTTTTTTTTTTAGAGAATAAAAAAAAGAAAGTCATGGAGTAGAGGGTTGATGTAGGCTGCAGTTTTCATTGCAACTTTGATATCCTTTTGTTGGATGTGCAGCTGATATGGACTTGGAGACGAAAGTTAGCTTGTCAGTGGAGAATAAAAGGACAGGATTGAAGTTTAGAGAAAAAAAAATATTTATCTGATACGACAGCAAAAAGTATGTAGAGGATTTTAATTAAAAACTACTTGACATTAAATTCCTTTAATCTTTTGATATTTCAATTATTTATCTTTTTTTCTTTTTTATCCTTTCATTTAAAAATTCAAATTTATTTTTACTCGAGATGTCGGTGTGACGAGTAAGAGCCTCATATTGCCTTTACGTAGACGCACCAAACTACGTGCAACAAGTAATTCAAATATGGAAATAAATAATGATGTTATAATGAAAATGAGTTTTTTATATTCTGTTATCAATCTCAATATGTGTAATCATAACGTCGTATATCATCACTGAAATTAAAAAATTCGAACAATCACAACTAGTTAACAGTATTAATTTTGTATGTAAGATATATATATACATATATATTTTTATCAAAAGTGTTATTGTATTTTGTGTTGTAATGTTTGTACTATTTTCTGAATAAAAAAAAAATTAATAAACAATGAAAAAGATAGCTTAATATTGTAAGAAATTTTAATTTGCTCCCGTAAGTCAAGCATGGAATGTCAAGTTCGCGCAATGTGAGAAAGAATTTATCTTATTTACAATTTTCTACTTTCGTTGTCACGTCGAACGTCAAAGAATTTAAGAAATTTCTAACTGATATTGAAAAATAAAAAAATAAAATAATTATCTGTGATGAGAGTAAGATTGAATAATGAAATAACGTGTGTATATGTAAAAGAAATAATGAAAATAAAAGAGAGTTATAACAAATAGTAGTGGGGTTAATAAATCAATAAATTTTCAGAATCGAACGTCAAGGGTGCAAAGTGCTTTTAGCCTTAAACGAATTGGTGAAGGTTTGTTCACACCAGTAGGTAGTTTGGAGAGATAGTATAACTGTAGAACACTACGTACACTTGTACTGCAGTGTTAAAATAGAAAATACAATGAGGATAGAAAAGAGTAGAAGAGCGAATACAGAGATAATCGAATTTCTGAGGATAGGAAAGGCCGCCAACAGCAGTTACGACTTTTGCGGATGTTGTAAAAATTGCGTTACTGGAAGAGAAAATCAAATAGAAACTCTAGCTACTATGTTACTCATTTCTACCCTGTATGACACATCCCAAATTATTAACACAAACTGACTTTCTAGCATTTTTGCAATTATTTCCTTTGGATTTTTAACGTGTTGAAAAATAGTTTAATAACTAGAAATTGATTTTTTTATTTTTGATGAGGATAAATATTTTATTTGTTTCTAAAAAGGTATTTTTATTTAGACTTCAAAGAATATCACATCAAATACATTGTTAAGAGGTTGAATAAATATTTTAAAAAATTTTAATTGGATTATTTTATTTTGTTTTTATTGATTTTTCTAAAGTAATTTTACTTCATAAATTCAAATACAGTATGAAATTGAAAAATATTGAGTTTGAAAGTGGCTTTTAATTCATTAAAGCTAAATGTATTTTTTAAAAAAGGAATCATTGATCCACTTAATAATAAAATGCGATAATAATATCCCATATTAATTAAGAAGTTGAGCAATGAAACTCAAAGATTTGAACACAAAAAATTTAATCCTCTAATAAAAAAGAAAGTATAACTTGCTAATGCCAAGAAAGTCTTTTACAGTAACGACAACGTTAAACTTTATGATTTTTTTTAAAACCGTTTCTTTTATTTGTTGCAAACTATTCTCACAGTGAATAAAAAATGTCTTTGTTGGAAAATAAATTAACAGTCTAGCAATGAGACGAGAATAAAAAATGCAAAAGTTGCACAAAGGTCAATGAAAGTTTTTTTTCTAAGATGTTATGTATATTGTATATATAAAGAGACCATTTTATCAGATGTGCAGTATAAACGTACGTCCGGTGCGACTTTACGACTACGAAGCATCGATAATTCTTAGGTGGAAAAAGGTAGTAGTTGACGAGTAACGTGTACTCCCGTTGCACGAGATTGCTTTTGCGGGGTAAGAAGCTTATCCGATCGTAAAAACTGCACGCGGTTCTAGTCTTTACTATGCACGCACTAGTCACTAAAAGTGTTTAGAAATCGTCTCATTGATTTTTCAATCATACAATTGATTTTCATCATCATCAATATTCATTCATTTTAATCACGAACATAAATCACCGATGAATTTTAAACGTAAAAAAAAAAAAAAATTGACTCAACAACATCAGAATAAATATAAATATTTATTTATGCTTACGAAAACGCTTTTATTCGAACAAAAAAAAATCAAGGTAAAGCTGACTTCGCCACGCTTGGTGGTTAACGATATGGATAATTATTGCTAGAGCTCTCCTAGATCGTAGATCAGACACGCGAGCAAACGACGAAGAGTTTTATTTTCTCTCGCTTGACGGTACTTTAAGGGATGATGACAGGGTAAAAAGAGGCGGAGACAAAACTTTTGTAGCTTACGCTGCAAAGTGTGAGACCAAGAGAGATCGTGATCGGTTAGTTACCGAAGCTATACAAATGTTAAGAAAGCTTCTGTCTTTTATTAACTGGAAGGAAAAATTATATTCTACTAGAATTACCGTTATAGTTTATAAATAATCATTTTTTCACTAATTTACGACATTATTGCTAATTTTTACAACTGTTTGTACCGTAAATAAATACAAATAAATAAAGTGTGAAAAAGCAAATAATCGTGGTACTCAGATTGGTAGAAGAACAAGTAGTCTGAATTCAAAAATGTATGGAATAGAAAAGTAAAAAAGAAAATTAAATAGAATTGTAAAATTTGTGATGGTTCTGATGCTATTTGATATAATATTTGAAAAGATGGAAAGGGGGTAAATATAACGTTTGTAGCAATAATTACGCTGCAAAAATTATCTCTCTCACGTACATAAAAAAATTAAATAATGTTTCCTTCCAGTTTATCAGCAAAAATCAAATCCGTACATAATTCAAACTCGTGGGAATTCTTTGTCTACATAATGACAATAAAGATTTAATTTTTTATTGTCATGTTGAATGTATGTTTTGTATGTGTTAAAAATGGTAAAATTAAATTGAAAAATATTAAATACAAATTTATTATTGATAATCGAAAATAAATAACCGACATAATGAATTTTTATGTATTTAATCAATAATCAATTAACCACGAATGAGAAAAAAATAGAACAAGAATAAAAATAAAATTACTAAAGACTAATAATGTCGTCGGTTATCCGTGAAATCGAACGTGACACGTCCGTTTTGAATACGGTGGAATAAATATATATATGTATGTAACAAGTTACGAGACAATTCGCAACAAAAAAAAACCAATGGCGTGTGGGTAAATAAATAGATCATATAAATTCACGTGATTCAATATTTTGTTTCAATTAAAATCGTGTAACAACGGCTTTTGTTAACGGTGAATGATATAAATCAAAGCCAGCCTTCTATCTAAACACATACGGTGAGTGATAAAAGAGAAAGATAATAAAAGCGTATATATATATAAATATCAATAACTTTGGCTGTTCGTTAACAAATAAACCCGTATTACCTATGAACGTAAGCGTGCGTCTACTATTTACATACAATAAGATATATTGAACTCGTATAACGTTAAATCTGTGTAAAATGTGTGTATTATGTCAAATAAATAAACAATTTAACAGCTGGTTCGAAAGATGCAATAATAAGTGACTTCATGCTTGCTTTCGATTCTGACTGAGTGACTCTACTTTTTTTATTATTTGTTAATTTATTAATTAATAAAAGCACGACTCGGGAAATATTACGAATCCCGACGACATTTACTAAGTACCTCGTAGATGAGGTGCCTTTAGATATTTTTACTTTATTTACAGTGACGCGAGACGAGTCAGATTTGAATTCACACGTAATTTGATAATCAAAATTCAGAAAATGTTATTTTAAGAAATATACACTACTGTTAATAAAGTGAGGACGGTCCCAACCTGAATTATACACACCAATGCACCATAATATCGTTTTGATTAACATTAAATTTTCTTCTTTTATTCAATAAAAATACTACTTCAATAAACTATTAGCTTATTATTTTGATATTATAAAACATTCAATGAGAAAATGAATTTTAAAATTGAATAAAAATTTTCATAATTGAGCTGATAAAATTTTTTGGATAAATTCATTTAAAACAGTTTGAAATATTACTAATATTTTTTCAAAAAACATATCAATTATGAATTGTGAATCAATTTTCGATTTAATTATTTGATATAGGTATTTATTTTAATTTGAATAATGTTTAATATTTGTTCAAATGGATTAGTTAAAATGTGTAAAATGAAAACTCATGATTAATAACTAATGTAATAATTAAATTGAACATATTAATGAAAATATTGAATAAAATAACAAATGTATGATGCATTTAATTTCAGAAAGACCGTCCTTATAACCAATGGGAACTAAATGATAAAAAAGATGCGGAAGGCTTTCTAGCTAGAAAAATGCAACAGCTCGTCTAACAACTACGAGGACTAACACCATTGGTTATTTACGTTGTAGGCAACGCGTAACTGACACACGTACGTTGTGCGAAATAAAGTGTCGCCGGCGAAGGACCATTTCGAAAGCACATACTTTTATAGAGCAATATAAATTTTGATTAACGTCAGAACAAAAGTGGAATTTATTTATCTTATAAAAGCTTTTTCAAATTACACTATAAATATTTTTATTATTATATTCATTCATTTTTTTTATTATTTTTCATTTGTTCTCAAATTTATTAGACTGTTACAGAGCTTTGATTTTGTGATCTTTCCTCAATTCTTTATTAATTGCAGTGCTCTTATCAAAATGTAATAAAAAAATTTTTAATTAAATTTATTAACGATGTAACAAATATGTATTTATAAATTTTATGATTAAAAATGTTTTAATGAATAAATAAATAAAAAAGCTTTTATTTACTAGAAAAATTAAGATTTGTTTGTAGTTAGTTATTTTTATATTTTAATTATGATTTTATGATATTTGAGTATTTCATACAAAAACCTCAATACAATTATAACATTAGATGTCCAAAAACATGAATAGAATGTACAAAAAGCCACAATTATGTGTGGTCTAACTTTATATTAAACTTGAGGTAACTTTGACTAACATGTTTTTTATCAAAAAAAAAGTTGGTCTATGTGATTTAAACATTTTAAATCAGATTATACAACACCATTTCAAGTTTAGAAGCACACATAATACAAGAATAGAGTTATTTATTCGCTAATACAACTAAAGTTTTAATACTTGAATAAATAATCATAGAAAAAAACTTATATTTCAACAAAAAAAAATGTTAAAAAGTAATCCAAGAATAAATATTTATTAAAAAAGTTGGATAATTATTTATTTGAAGGCAAAGCTGTCAATAAAGTAATGACCAATAATATATTTTATTGGTTGACAGGTTAATAATTCTACTATTTGAAAGTTTAGAAAACTACATAACATTAATAAATTCCATTCTAAAATGGTACTCCAAACTATTAATAATGTTTTGAAAAGATTATTCCTTGAATGAAATAAATACATGTGTAACAATCTAATAATAAGAGTAATACTAAGATGACTTTCGAAATGTCCAACGGCATTAGCATTGCGTACGTTTGACTCGTCTATTAAGTCATTATTTTAACGAAAGAAATTCCTTGAGTTGCTGTCACTTTAATATAATTCCAAAATGCTGCACTTCGTTAGGGATGCCACATTCCATTTACATTGACGAAGCTTTCGAAAGTATTATCAGCCTCCTTTACGGCTAAAGCACAGTGCTTTTACAAAATGGAATATTATATACTACCCGCCGAGTCTAGCTTGGCGAATTGCGGATTAAAAATGAAAATTAATTAATACATAAAATATATATAAGTAATAAGTATAACAAATATATAATACGACGTGTATATGTCTTTTAATATGTGAAATGTACGATTTTGCAGAAGCAGTATGGTAGCTGAAAATAATTATTAGTATTACAAGGGAGGATATTTATCATCATCAACAATTGTTTTCATATTTGACGTTATTCGTAGTGTAATAAAAGTGGCAATTTTTTACCTCAAGATTTAATTTATTAAACAAACAGGTACAAATTTCCTCCCTTGGTCTTTTATATCCTTAAAATAAATCAAGAAACACTGGCAACACTCGCTTCCAATCGATGTCTAACAAACATCGTTTATTTTCTTAAGGCTGAATAAATTTTCCTTTACTCTTGCTGTCTACACACAACCGATCGATCTACATTACCTATACGTAAAAGGACTCAACCAATAAGACATCTCAGTATAAATACTAGCACACAGATTGGTTTCACCTTTTCGTGTCATATCTTCAAACTTCTTGCATGATCAAGTAGTTTACGTTTAAGCTGATCTAAGAACTCGTTCAAACGTCATTAAAGTACTTCCTTGATCATCGCACGAATTCTTGAGAAGCTTCAGCTGGAAGATCTATCAGGCCTGATAATTATATTTTAAGTACACGCCAGAAATACAATGCATGAAATGAGGTCGTGAGAATGAAACGGACGCTGAGATATACTTGGAGAAAAAAAAATAGGATGAAAAACTGGTGAAAGAAATAGCAGTAAATGATGGTGGAAAATTCCGGTCATAGAGATATTGATCATAAAAGTACTTGATGAGTACGATCCGGTTGTAAATGAGTTTAATTAATCCTAGATCGAGAAAGACCGGGGGTCACCCGGAAACTGAAAGCGGCCCGTTCGCCGCCAGCTGTGCTTTACCACCTCTTTCTAACCATCGTTTCGTATACACCCCGAGAGACGTGATTGGTAGTTACGATGGCGGATGTGACACGCGAGGTGAACTTCCGGCATGAAACGCCCGCGAGTAGAACGAGCCTCGTACGTGGTCGGACGATGAGACGAGGTCGAATTCAAACTACTATTGTTACTTCAACAAACGTCCAATTCGAATAACTCTTCTTTACAGCTTCCGTTAATCGATTCTTGATGAGATCGGAAATGCTCAAGTGCAAACCTATGCAAGTGTGTCAAGTGATGACGACGTTGTTATCTACTTCAGCAACTTTTACAACATTTTTTTTCTAATGATAGAAATTTAGAAGAATATTTTTTTCTAGAACTTTGAATAAAATAAATTTCCCATTGTAGATTTAGAATTAAATTAATGACATTAATTATTTAATTAAATACAGTTGGTGAGTATCAGACAGCTTTTAAGCTGTAATTTCAATTAAATACAAGTTGAAATGTCACAGAACAATTACTATGTCAATTGATAAAGATTCAATTCATTTTTCGAATGAGCTTTCAATTGAAACACTACAAGTCAGTTCAATATTCATATTTAATTTTTAATTAAAAAAGAAAAAAAATGAATTATATTATCATATAATATTTTTGGTAAATCAATCTAACTTTATCGAATAAATTTAGCAAAACAAAAGTTTCGAATATTTTTTAATCCAATTATTAATTTTCCAACAATTTTATGTCCAACAAATTCACTCATAAAACAGTCCTTTTTCTGTCCACCAGTTAATGAAATTTATAAAAATCATTCGTTCCAAAACATTGAAACTAGAGCGACAGAATATCGCAGTTAATACAGATAAAAATAAAAACAAACAACTGTTAGCTTCAACTATGGGTCATAGGTCATAGAGAAGCACGTGGCAATAGATACTTGATCAAGTATATTTATTTACAACTGAATATAGCCTCCTCGCACTCTTGACCTAACAGGCGTCCTGAATATGCAAGCTCACCCGGATGCCGCATGTCGTCGAGATGTATTACTGCGGATCTTATCCCCTTCCCATACTTTACTGACTTGTCTGTCATCCATATTGAAAACTATTTGCATTTTAAAGCCTCCTTCGACAACGATATGCGAATAATGTAAGATCCCAAATTTTCATCATTATAAAAGTGTTGCTGACTTGATACAAATACGTTGGATTTCAGCGAATGTTGCCAGTGTTTATCAAAAAAAAAGATCAAGACGGTAAGCACGCAGGATAATCCAAGACAAGAATAAATGAATAAATAGATAAAAATAAAGTTACGTTGAAAAAAGGATGACATGATATAAAAAGTTTGATGCTCTTGAGCTTGCAAAGCTCTTAAGACGTTTCTTATTCTTTCTAAGAATGACGCAAGATGAGGAGGAGGAGGAAAAAAAGGAAACTTGTAAAAGGGAAAATAAAAAGAATTTCAAGACGTGAGGGAAAAATAAAAATTGACAGTAACAAAGAGAAAAGTTTTAACGACGCGACCATCGGAACAACTTTAGATCTTGGGTGATCCTGCGTTACCAAAACAATTACAGTTGCCTAGTATCTCCGTTCAGGATGTCGTCATGTCACAAGAAGAGGAACAAAGTTTGCCAATAAAAGCCCAACCGTGACTGTGCGGCCAGTGAAAAAGCATGGAGAGTTAAAGCTTACTCGTTCAAACCTCGAATTATCGACATCACTTTTTTCTATTTTTCTTTGCCAACTTTTCGACTTGCAAAAAGATACGACAAACTTTCTATTTGGTACAAGCATAAGGTCCAACTTGTAGGAAAGTGGATAACTGCACAATTTTTATCAAATCTCGTGGTCGATCGACCTCCTGAGGAGATACTGAGCCAATGAAATTTTTTTTCACTTTTTTATGTCTTTTTTTTAAGTCGCATCCAGGGGATTGCGATCGCTCACCTTGCTTCCACGTTCATTAAAAATGATCTCTACATCCAATATCGGGCCATATTGCTGCAAAGAAAAAATTTAAATTATTCCAATCCAAGTAATCATCATGATGAATAAATTCAGAAAGCCTTTTTTTATTGTTTAATATGAGATCACATAATTATTGATGATATTGAGAAAGATTTTTTTATGAAAGTTGGAATCTTATTACATATTTTATTGAAAGAATCTCTCTCAATATATATTGAAATCTTTTTTTTTTTAATTCTACAAATGTACTTTTATTTCACTGTTCATTTTTATTTTCTAAACATAAAAAATAAAACAATCTTCTTAATTATATGTAATTTTATTCTTTATTTCAAGTTTTATAAAAATGCTTGGTATCAAAGAGTTGTAAGAATTCGAAACAGGAAGTTGAAAGAATACATAACATGTGTTCCTCAATGACGTTGGATAAATATTTTTTCTAAAACACTCTGAAGTAATTTAAATTATTGGTATTCAAAGAAATCATTATGTGACCTAATTCTTTATTGCCATTTAATTGTATAAAAAAATATCCAAGTTATTTCTATTTTGGAAAAGAACTTTAGCCCATTAAATAACTTATAATTATATTGAAGTTATCTTTTATATAATGCATCCAACATAATTAAATCAATTTTGAATTATCATAATATCATAAAAATACTTTCATTTACTCATGAATTGAAATATCTTTTATAAACCGTCTGTAGAATCTAATCTAATTTTTTTTACATCTACTTTTTTTTATCATTTCCAAAACTTCTTTGAATCAAATCTTTTTCTTAATAAAAAAAAAAGCTTTTAAATAGATTTACTGTTGAAGTTTGGAAATGCTTTATTAATTTTCCTCAGCTTGTGTTTTTTACTCGATCTTTCATAAAACTAAATTGATATTATTATCTACAAAAGCTTTTCAACTGACTCAACATTTTCGTGATATTATCTAGCAGACAAATGATGATTTGCAACTTACCCCAAACATTGCCCTAAGATCAGGGTCTCTAAAACGAAAAGGTATGTTGCTGACGTGAAGTCGTTTCGGTTGACCCTTGAGGTCAGATCCTTGTGTTGCTGTCGCCGTTGTCGTCGCTCCCGACGTAACAGGGACCATGTTGTTACCTTCAACGCCACCCTCTGTGCTCGTCTCAGTTCCACCTGAAGTTGGTGCTGGTTGCTGACCTCCGCTACTTGCTGCTGATGCTGCGGCCGCAGCTATTGCTGCTTGAAATACCTCCGACTGCTCCACCGAAAATAAAAGAAATCCAATTGTTAAACAATCATTCAAATATTTGCTATTCTGTTGCGCAAATAACATCCTTATTGTAATTATATTATTATTGATTTTTATTTAATATCAATGTATAAATTTTTTGAATAATGAAATAATAATATGTAAAATGACCATTTGTATTTGTGGATTGAGTAATGGTAATTAATTTATTCTAGCGAGAATTTATTTTAATTTATAATGCAAAGTTAAATATTAAAACTGAAAATAAAAGGATGTATAAAATTTGTGATTAAAGCTTGGAATTTAACTGGTTTTATTATGATTTATGCAAAAATCGACTTTGCAATGTAAAATTTTAATTATTTCCAAAAAAATTTGGATGAAAATAATATGTTAAATGTTTGTTTGTTTTACAGAATTATTATGACCTCATGCACATAGTTTTACATAAAATGTAATAAAGTTTACGGAATTGTTGAAACATAGTATTTATATTATAACACTGTTCGTTTGGAAACCTTACGTGATACAAAACAACTAAAAGTAGATTTCAAATCAGTATTATTTATTTAAAGTAGTATGACAAGGCTGCAATTTTATATCTATATCCTTAAGTATATATATGTACATATATCATTAAAGAATGATAAGTATAAACACGAATACCATCAGTTAAAGTTATATATGTATTTACATAAAGAAAAATACTTTATGAACTTTCTTGTGTAAGAATTCAGTGATTAGCAGTCGACAAACTTCTTATAAAGGCTTATTTATAGAGAAAAATAAGCTGTCAATATATTTCTTTCTTAATCGTTTGAATGTTTCTATTATGAGCAACAAGTATTTTCTATCCATTTAAAATCATGAATATTATTGTTTAACTAATTTTATTAGCAAATGAAGTAGATAATTCAAAAAGAATTTCATACAATTAGGGTTCTTATAGGGATTTTGTTGTTTAATTGAAATGGCGAGTAATAATCGGACATCATTGATAAAATCTATTATATCTAAATTAAAAAATGTAATAAAAATGTTTTTTTGTACTTTTTTCTAAGTACATTTACATCATTACCTTTTTCAAAGTGTAATTACAAATCAACGTAAGTTGAAATCACATCATTTGAAAATTTCGTTTTACAAAAAGGTAATTGATGAACAACATACTAATAGAAGCATTTTCTAGTAACTTAAATGAAGGAGAAAATTTAATTAACTTCTGAGAGATTAATGAAATTTAAGCTATTCAATTAATAATGATGAAATTTGCTTCATTTTACTCGATTGAGATCAATATATCAGAGTAAATGGTGTGATCAATTGAGTTGATCACTAATACAAGATATTTGATATTCCTATTGCACAAGGAGACGTATATAATACTGTTTGATATTCTAACACGGTTGTCTTGTTTCCGATCATCTAAGTAGAAATGGCAGGCTTTACGAGGCGAGAATAATATAAGGATACATAGAAGCACATCAGAACAACGAGCTTACGAATATCCCGAGTATCATTTTATGTATTCAACTCTTCGTCTGTTCATCCTCAATCTCTTTACATCTCTGTCTCAATTTCTAGAAACCCATGTAAATCACGAATAACTAATTGAGACAAAAAAGACACTAAAACAAAAGTCTGTCTAGTGAAACGGATGTGAAAAGTAAAAAAAAATATCAGAGGTTATTTTAAGATTTTTATTTTTAATTTTTTTTTTTGCAAACTCTCGGGAAAAGCTCCAGGAAATTTTTAAAGCAAAAAGTTGGAATAAAAAAATTCAGGACTTCCTTGGAAAAGAAAGAAAAGTTTTTGCAGGATTATCAGAACGAAAAAAGTGTAAAAAAGAGAAAAGTTTGAAAAAATCAAATCATTAAGCAAATGTTTCAGAATTATTAGAGAAGGTAATGCAACCCTAAATTTCGTGAAACTCAAAGTTCACTTGGTGAGAATATTTCACAAAGTTCACGTACACTCTGCCCTCAACACTGCAATTAGAGAATAAAGGAAATTATTCCATGTGGAATCATAATTTTTACAAGCTCAGGGAAGTTGGGAAAACACTGAGAAACGAACGATAAATAATATAAAGCGTAAATTATTTGAAGTAATTTTTTAATGATGTACTCTAATGACTACCATTAATAAAATCTTTTTAATGATATTATTTTTAATGTTTCCTTAATTATGTTCTTTTTTTTTAATTTCTTTCAAAGTATTTTATTTTATTTTATCCTAGCATGTAGAGAACGAAAAAGGAAACTATAATGAATTTGTGGTGAGAGCAATGTAGTAAATGGTTTTCAAAATATTTGTTAATAGTTGATTACATCAGTAGCAGCATGAAATAAAAAAATTTCGAAGGCTGAGTTAACCAGAAATACGATGAATAAAAGAACAGAAATGAGTTCAGCTACAGTTGTGGATTTTCTTTCAAGAAAACTTGATTGGAACGTCAAATATTTATTCGAGACCTGGTTTTCTCTTCTACTTCGTCTTTGAACCATTTTTCCTTTGTTGAAGAGAAATTTTTTTGTTCATCCTTCTTTCTATGTCATGTCGGTCGTCTGAAGGGGGCGGACAACAACACCGTGAGTGTTTTTCACGGTGTTACGTGGATGGAATGAGAAACAAGAGTCTTTTTTGTAGTTTACTTTTAAAATGGGCATTGTTTATTCTTCAGTTTATTTTAAATCCAAAAAGCCAAAATTACTTTGGTGTCAATAGATTTTTCATTATTTCAACTTTACTGCATCGAAAAAGGAAATTTCATCAATCAAGTGTAATAGGAATAATTGAAAATAAAAATTGCGGTTTAACAATAATGTTGTTTAAAACAAATATTGTTTAGTAGAGTTGTCAGATATGTTGTTTTAAATTACATTTATTATTGGAATTCAGAAATATGAACAACAGAGAAAAATATAAATGAAAATTATAAACATTGTCATTAAACTCGATGTGGAATTTAGAGAAGTATCGAATATTGAAGTAAATCATTTATTTATAAAAAGTATTTCGATAAAATAGAAGTTTCCAATAAAATTTATCTATGAATATTAACTTAGTAGCATTAATTAAACGTCAAGGCGTCTTTTCCAGCTTATTACAGAAGACTAAGACGAGATATGAAGTTTAGAGAAGTACTTGTCTTGGTAGAATTATGAAGCAGTCATAAGGAAGTTTATGATAAAGTTTACATTATATAAGATAAGATTATGTTTCTACCCATCTCTTTTATTATATTCATCAAAAACAAACTCATTAAATCAAGCTTTACCAATAAAAAGTACATTTTACATTCACAGGCATGATCAAAAAAAGAAGACATCCAATAAATAATCGATAATTCACTAGAAAACTGTGATATTCAAAGTGTTCAAAGGTACAGAATATAAAAAAAAATTAAGAGCGAATATTGATACTGCAGTTTGCCGACAAATTGGAAAATTTTCGGTCAACTTGAATTTTTGATAAAACGGTAAAAAGACTCTAGGCCACGCCCTATTCTTTTAGTAGTGGAACGATATCGGCATTCAGATAACTTTCTTGCTTTTTATACTTTCCTCACTTTTTCTTATAGGCGTATAATACATATACATTGTACTTGTTTCAGTATACAAAATTTACTTAGCATGCATCGAAACCAAGCAAATTAGCATAGTATATTTATAGTCACCGTGGATTTTCATCGGATCTAAGCAAGTCTGGCGATGAAAGCCGATGTAAAATTCAACAGCCTGTTAGGCCGGACCTAGAATACTAACCCTTATAAAACCACCAAGCGTATCAAACTGGAATTCATGCTTAAATTTTCATTTTAATTCTAATCTACAAAGTGGGTCGAATGAAGACGAAAATATTGATTACTTATATAAAGAACTTACAATCGCCTGTTGATCGACACCATTAGGAGGAGGTGGAGGACTAAAACTAGTAGCAGCTGGTGCACCGGGGGTAGCTTGATGTGGTGTGCCTTGTGTAGTTTGTATCTGAGGGCCGCCTGGGGTTGATTGTTGCTGAGATCCAGTTGTTTCTTCCTTCGTTGGCACTGGAGGTGGTGGTTTTACTTCACCAGCAGCTCCTGCTGTCCCCACGACTCCAGTTACCCCGTTCACAGGGGGTGGAAAAACACCCCCACCGTAAGGCGCAGCCATCCCTGTCTGCACCACGTGCTGTAACAAAATATTTTTTTCATTTTAGTTGTTTTATCCTTAATGTTAATAAAGATCTTATCACGAGTCACCTTTTAAAGCTTGTTTGTATTTCTACATACTTTCTGGTACTTAGTTTATAATTAAAATATCATTTTTAGTATATTTTATAAATATTTAAATAAAAATTATTCTATATATACATAATTATTATTAGCTGTTGTGATTACTGTTTGAATTAATATTGAAAACTGTTAGAAAGTAACTGAATACATAAGAATTTCAATCGAAAGATGGCGAAAGTATATTTTAACATTTTTGGCAAAAAACTATTGATGTTAAATGTAATATACTAAATTTTCTAGACTCTCAGGCGTTTATCAATGTTTCTATATAGATGAATGCACTTCAAATCCTAGTGTTTTAATTTAAAACACTTCCAAATTTGAGATTTGCAGTGTACATATGTATACATGGGGTTGTTTGAATTCATTTTTAGGGTTCGAATGCTTTTAGTAGCCTGGTAGGGTAAATGTTAAAAATTCAAGACCTTGAGCATAAAAGTTGAAAAATAAAATGACGTATAAAAGATCATATCAAAAAGAATATCAGATACCACCATACTAAGAAGGGTAATGTACCCTCGAGGTAAATAACAAATTATATAGGGGCCAGACAAAATTTTAATATTATAAAAAGTAAATTTGGAAAAGATGCTGTGTCACTTTTCATGAAAATAAAAATATTTTACTCAATAAAAATTAATTTTCGTGTTTAATAAATTTGTCCATTATTGTTCATGAGCTGTTATGTTTATTCTGATCAATATCTTTTTTTTAAAAAATAGCTGTCAATCGATTAAGCACGTATCACAAGATAACATCAAAATATAACAATATTAAAAATAAATTCTAGACATCTGTAGAAGACGTTAACAGTTGAAAGCACCCCAAGTAAAAGGGAAAAGTTGCCTAAGGGTTTTCCTTAAAAATCTTCCAAGGTTGAAAAATATAATAGGCCAACATCACGAGTAGGCAGACCTGCCAATTCTCGATGGAAAAATTTTACTTGCTTCAAGCGATAGAATGAGAGTATTTGGCAATTTGCCATCGAAAACCTGCGGCTGTTTCAAGAGTTTCAGTGACTCTTGAATGCAAAATAGAGCTAAGTGAGAAGGGGTAAAGGGTTGGAATCATAACGAATATCCTTCTCTCTCGGCTCCTCTAATCTACACACCCTCGTTTCTGTGTATATTCTAAATCGTTTTCTCGATAAGCAGCGACATGCTGCGTAGCAGTCACAGACCCCTAAGGGTGTTTTTCCCTTTCCCTTTACGCCTCCCTATATCTCTTTGGGGAAACTATCAACCCTTGCGAGTTGAACATCCAGGAGTGGATAATAGCTCTGGATAATTATCGAACGGAGCCAATGTTTCCAGCTGCTGTTTCTCGTATTTCGCCAAATACTGATTTTCTACAACTAACATTTCCACTCTGTCTCAATGATGGATATTTGTACCAATGTAATATTGTTTTCATGTTACAAATTAACACGAAAAATATATTTCCATGTTATTTTTTGCTTAATTGGAATTATTTTTAGAATTTATTCCTATGGGTTGAATAAATGTTTTAGTTGAATTCCATTTTGAAATGTTGTCAAACTAAATATTACAGCTATTGAAGTTTAGAGTAACAGACAAGAGAAGGAAACCTTGTAATTGAAAGATTAATTGATTTTTCCTTTATTTTAATTGGAAAAAGTTGTTTCTAAAGTTTCAGAATAATCAATTTTTCGAAATTTACACAACTTATTCAGGTAAATTTATTCACCATTAGTACTTATTTGTCAGAACACCTACTTTAATTAATCGTCTTAGCACTTTATCGAAACGAATTTGCGTATTATCATGATTACCCTAGAACTTTGTAACGAAGTTGATAATTTCTTAATGAGTATTACTATTAAGATGATGATAATCCTTATTTATCATAATTAGAAATATTTTCCTTATATTTCAATATCACATTCGAAGTTACCTCAATCAGAATTTTGATCTCTCTTCATCAATTTTTTTTTTTCACAATAAACAAAACTTTGATAAGGAGTTATATTTTCTTAAGTACACTGAAAACGATTTAAGCGGATTTTATTTAATCCATTCTCTGCAATGCAGACTCTCAAGATTTCTCATTTTTGTTTATTCTATTGATTCTTGAAAAAATTTTAGATTAAATCTAAAGTAGTTTTAAAATTTGAAAAATTTTTATTATTCGAATATTGAGTAATATCATGAAACAAAAATAATGAAATATTCCAATGAAATTTAACGATAAAAACATGTTTGTAATCATAAAGCCCTCGATTGTCATAGAATGCTGATTGTCAGTTAACACACAATTATTACAAAATGTATAAAAAATAATATAAAATTTTTCCAGGTGTTCATAGGTTATTATTCAATGAAATTTATGTTGTATGTGCATAATAGTATATAAAGGGGGAACCAGGACAAGTCATAACGAATGTCATTTAAATGAAAATCCACATCATGCAGTAGAATTCATCTCCTGTACTTTCCAGTTCTGTACACGTATACTTGACACCTATGGTTTTGTTTAAATGACACTCGCTACATTTTACCGTGTTTTACCTTCATATAGATAATCTCTAGAGAAAATCTAAAATAATTTGAGAGACGTTAAAATCCAAAACTCAACGAAAATTGTATTACGAATTTAAAATTTAATTATGTTAATTTTTATTCACCTTTTTTAAATGTTCAGAATATTTATACTAAAGTAAATTAACAACCAAAAAAAGGTTTTATTAACACACTCATTAGTAAATTTAAATACTTATTTATAATTTTTTGCACAGAAAAATAATCCTCAATTCAATTTTGTAATTAACTGCAATTCTTGAAATATGAAGAAAAAAATTCTCATTCATGATTTAGTAGAAAAAATTTCAACATGAGAGTAAATTGAACATCTGGTAAAAAGAAAAACCTCGTACTGTTATTGATCTTGAGTATACTTGGCATAGACAAAAAGAAAAAAAAGATGTTATTGCATTCCGTTCAAACGTTTTTCAAAGTGGAAATGAAATGCATGTTAAGCAAGGTTTCGTAAAGAACCTTGTGAAACGAAAAAGAAAGAAAACGTGTGTGACACTTGATAGGGGAGAATAATGCAGCACTAAAAATTCAAAGAAACTCAAGTCTTCCAAGCAGTAAGAAAAATATTGAAAGAAAAAGAAAGCTCTGTATTTGTGTTTTTAATACTCTAGAGTGAAATCTCAAAAAAAAAGAATTAAAAATGATTGAGAAAAAGAAGAAATCAAGAGTGTAAAAAGATGTCTATAGAAGTACTTCTGAAGGCGTGAAATGGATTCAACGATAAACTTTAATACCACAGTGACTTTTATTATTGCATTTTAATTGTTAATTAAGTCTAAGATAATCGACGACTGCGTGAGTTTATAACGAGTTTCGGAAGTGATACATCAACGTGCTAATAAAATTACCATTCAAGTGATGAAAAACTTGCAATAAAACATATTTCATTAATTATAAATTGAAATCATGAAGAATGTTTTCATTAAAGTTTTACCTTAAACGATTTATGTAATAACTTGGTAAAAGGATTTAAAAGGAAAAAATTGAAAGAAATTTTAAATTTCTCTATCAGTTAAACACTCAATAGACCACCAGAAAAGTTTCTTTCGCTATGAAGGTCTACTTAAGTTTCACCCCACATTCTCTAATGCATTCACGGCCTGTTTTCCGCTTTCAACCCTTTTTCTATCCCCATAAAAAAAAGTATAACCGTACTAAAAGCAAGTAAGGTTGAATACAAGTAGAAACGAGACTTGTTTGTAAGAAGAAACCGGTGTGAAAACCACTTCAATCCCTTCTTTTTCACCTTATACTTCACTGTACTTTTTCTTCGTCTTCTTCTTTAGGACTATTATCCCCCAAAGCTTCGTTGGCCGGAAGACATTACTGACGACGCATTTAATGAGGCACCAGCTACAGAATTCTTTCACGTATAATTGCACAAAAAATTACGTTAATGACTCTTTTAATGAGATAAATGTGCAAAGATTTGAAGAATTTAATGTCTAACAAATACTACTGAGCTTTTTTGACCGCTTTTATTTTTGGCAATGGCAACAAAAAATAAATCACCAACAAATGGTACTGCAAAATAAACCAGAGAATACTGTTACGTGAAGGAGTAAAATAATCAACTAATTTCGCAGACTGATATTTGATTTAAAAAATATCTTTGGATAGAGAACATTTTTATTAATTAAAAAAATCCTGAATATAGATTGGAGTCAATTTTTTTTTATATAAAGTGAATGAAAAAAAAAAAATTAATTACAGAATGAAAAATATTATGCTGCAAATGTCAAATGTTATCATTGAATCGTTAGCATCAACATTGCAATAATAAGTTATTTTTATCAAAGATCATATAATTTTCTTGAAATAAACAAAAGAATATTTTTAATTAAGATAGATTTAATGTGTATATAATAATCTCAACATAATTAAATAATTTTTAATACATTTTTTTGTTCAGTGCCTTCATTATCTGAAGAAAAATTCCATCATCAACTGAAGATAATTTATTAATAGATTATTTTCTATCTTAAAATTTAACGAGATAAACATTAATTATAAGTCTATTTAAATATTCCTCATTTCCTTATTAACAAAGATGTTTATGGTAAAAGCTTGTTAAAGTGTAATTGAAATTATTTGAATTAATGTGTGTGACAAATAACTAGCGATCTAGCTATATTAATTGATGGAGTTAACTGTAAAAAGATAATTAGAAGATGTTAGTGAAACAATGATTATCAGATGAGTTGCGATACAAATTAAAACCTCTGACAAAGTAATTGTACAACTGTAACAAGCTTTGTGGTAGCATACCACGTGTTCAAAGTAAGAAAATAGAAAGGAATACTTGGTAAGAGTAAGACAAGAGCTTAAAGCCGCGT